AAGACTTTATTTAAGCTATTTGAAGTTTTAATTTAAGCCATTTTTTTTTCCAATGTTAATTCCTATTGCATGTCTTTCTTTTATTTAGGAACTTGAACCTCATCTTGTAAAAGAGACCAATCCATTACTTCATCAATTTTCATCTTATTATTCCTGTTACAACAGAACATCTTGAACTGTCGTTATAGGTTTCCATTCTTCATTTATTCATTCAGTTTTTCTTAACATTAAAAGGTGATCTATTATGATCACACAATTGAATTTCAAGGGTTAAAGTTTTGAAATGAAAGTCAAATAGTTGTTTTGTATGAAATGTTTGAAGCTTCGTAAAAAGAGGAAGCCAGAGTTCACCTTTTACATAAACTGAATCATTTCCAGTCAGTCCTGTAATTCTGTGACATTTGTTTTTTTTAAATCAGTCTTTCACAGAGAGTCGGCTTTGTTTCTCTTTTATCTGCTGCTTTCACAGCCTCTCAGTGAAGGGCAGAAACAGTCTGAACAGCATCTTTAATATCTGTTCAAAGATTATCCGTGTGAAACAGACAGATTGGAACTCATTTTGTAACCAGCAGGGATCCTCTGCAAGGCCGAGAGTACTCTAGCTTCTTCTGGTCATGTGCTTTTTGTGAATGTGAATTTTCTCTGTTGCCATCAGGACATTGTTAAGTTCAGTAAAACTAACCGTCATTCTAAATCTTTCATCCACTCCGCAACCAGATTACAGAATGCTCCTTAGGTTTTTTTTTTTTATATTTTACTGACTTAATCCTTTTAGCATCACAAATGGTCATTTCATTGCGTTTATATCCAATCTGGTGTCTTTATTTATGTTTTCTATGTACATGCTGCTCCAAACTAATTGCCCAGAGAGGGGTTAAGAGAGTTGTTTGAATTGGATCGAAAGATGCAAGTGAAATTAAAAATTAAGCACAACGGTTTAGGAGGAGGACGATATGGTTTACTCTGCTTTGACACCGTCCCCAAAATTTGTGAATATTACAAACTGAGCCACAGAGTAAAACAATTTTTAAAAATGCACTTTTCCTCACAGGTGTTTTTAAATCATCATGTCTCATTAGACATCAGATGGAGCTCATGTGAGAATCACGATGACACCAAACTCATGGGCCGTATCCAAATTGCCAAGTACATACTCAATCTTTCAGTATGCAGTAGGCAGTATGCAGTACGTACTATCCGTGCTGCATACTGTTAGTACGTACTATTCAGTATGCACACACAGTAGGCAGATATTTGTGCCTACTTCGTCTGATTCATTCAGTAAGGAAGTGACGTCATTTACATTTCCCGAACCGGCCGCATCCACCCGTTTTTTTTTTTCGTTTTTTTGTTTAGCTTTATTCAAGAAGAATATACAGTCAGGTAAACAAAAAACAATATCACAATGTAAATCAAGTAAAAGACAGATTAAATAACTAAATAACATACAGTACATAAAGAAAAGTACAAATGAAAGACAGTAATATGCAGAATATAAAATAAACCAATAAAGATGCATTTAAATAGTGAAATCATTATTTAAATAGAGGGGGAAAGGTTTTATAATAATGCAGACATTTGTTATATTTTCTGTTGTTAATTTAAAGTAGTGATTTCAGTCGGGACTTTAACTCTAGATTAAAAATGTATTCAATTAATCCACGCTCGTTTGTTTTGATTTGGAGGCGGACGTGACGATTTACGTTTAATTTCGCACAGCATTGTGGGTGGTAAAACACAATTCATTTCCTGAAAGTTCATACCCCGGAAGTTAGTATCCATACTGAGATGTTCAGTATACTGAGGTGGACCCAAAACATGCATACTGAATGACCACGAAAGTTCGGTATACTGAAACTCCCTGCTGAATAGTACGTACTGCATACTGAACTGTGACAATTCGGAAAGGGCCCCGGACAGATTAGCAGAAAGGCAGACAAATCCCACGCTTACAGGTGCAGCTAACAGGAGAGTGAGGCAGATGTTGATTAAGCACCAGTGAAGAGATGTCTAATTAACAGATGAGTGAAAACACCTGTGTGGGGGCACTTTGTTTGTGGAGCAGAACATCAATAAGAGAATAGAAAACACACGTCTAACACAACTGTATTAAATGTCTGCAAGTGGGGCTTGCAGGGGGAAACAGGTACCTGGGAATGAGACTGGCTCCTGACAGGTATGAGAAGGTGTAGATCATAGTGACCACCAGCGTGATGACCACAACACAGGCGTCCACAATGTTCATCTTGGAGCTGAAGTACACTTTAAACCTAGAAGGCAGATAAGACTATTAACGTGAAGCTGGGGGAAAAAAAAGGTCCAACTCATGTAATTAATAATATGGGCCTAAATTTTAAATGATAAGAAAAACTTCAGCGTGGGGGAAAGTAAGTGTCAGAAAGTGTCCCAAGAAACAGCCAAATACATGTCATACATTTCCTGCTCTGCTTCCTTTTCACAACTTCCCGTTCAACAGCTAACCACATTTCATTTCTGCTGACACACAATTCTGGGAATGTTTGCATCACTCTTCCGAATGTTTTATGTTCTCCCATTCACAGGCTGTGAGTAATAAACATATATTTTGACCTGTTCCAACACGGTGTCAACAAATATAGAACCTGGCAAGCCTCGCCAAGATTTATAAGAAGACTGTGAGATGGGGAAACTAAAAAAAAAAAAAAAAAAAAAAAAAAGAAGCAGTGCCTGAATTTACAGCTACATTACTGAAAAGTGTACTTACCCTTGCACATAGATCCTCAGGAGGACGTCGGCAAGGAAAAAGAAAGAGATGGTGAGTGACACAGCCTCTATTGCATTGCCAACATCTCTGCTTTCGGCTGGCAGGGAAAGATCCACAATCACCAGCACGAAGTCCACTATTATCAGTATCACCCCGAATACACTGCAAGAGGAGACAAAAGACAAACATTAGGCATCACCAATTCGGGACGAAAAGAACCATCAGTTGTTACCCTCAGTAGACAAGCTCACCGAAATCCAAAGGACATAACAAGGGGGATATCTTCTTCCGCACATTGCTGCAAATAAAGGAAAGAAAGTTGCTTCAGTACAAAGTTTGGTATGACAAAACTATCTGCTGTCCAAGCTGCGGAAACTTACTGATACATTGTGTCTGGAAGCACACTCTCGTCCTTCCCATCATCAATCTCCACCTTAGCATCTTCCATCTTTGCAATGTTTCTGCAGAAAAAAAAAGAAAAAAAAAGAGAGATTTCGACTCAACAAAAAGAATAAAATCAGCTTGAAAAGATGCAAAAGCATGCAAAACAACTTGGAAATGTTAAGCACAACAACAACAAAAAACAAGATTACAAAGTGAAGGTAAGATTCACTTTTTTCCTTAAATGTTAGGAAAGGTATAGGCTGCTCCTCACCCATTTATACCTGCATCCGACCCTGGATTGAAATGCACAGAGGACATGATGTGTGGGTCTTCCTCCTTACTTTGTCCTGAACGTGAAGTCTCTGCGTTGGACAATTAAAGTGTAAAAAAATATATATAAATAAATAAAACTCCTTCGTTATGCACCTTGCTCTAAAATTACAACTTTAGAAAAGCAGCACCAAAGCTAAAAATCCAGTTTAGAAACACTTCTGCACCCCTGCGCCTCGACACAGTTATCAGACAGCAGGATTTCCTCGCATTGATAAATCACACAGCAACTGAAAAAGTTCTTTTTAGCTGTTGATGAAACATATGCAACCAAGACTGGAGCAAACTGTTTAAGAGAGTTTTGTTTTTTTCTCTTTCAAAAATGAAAACAACCAGCTAGATTAAACAATCCAAAGCCCCCAGTGTTTCAGCACATCCTATCCAAAAACTTTCCCTCACTCGTTTGTTGACCCAAATTTGCTCCCCCCCAAAAAAAACAGCTAAAGTCGCATCGCCTGCTTACCGTTTGGACTGTCATCCGTGAAATTATACGAGACTTTGTCTTGTGACTTCTTCTTGTGAGGACAAAGGAAAACCGTTCAAAGGTTAACCGGGTGTATTTTATTTTCAGTCCATCCACTAAACTCTAACTCCTTCAGCGTTTTTGCAAACGTAGCGGTTTCACACTTCCTGGACCTCTGTGAAAAAAAAAAAAAAAAAAAAAAAAGAAGCGCTCTGTCTTTTTTTCCTTTGCAACTTTTATCTTCTCTCAGCCCACATACACACCGAGCCTGACCATAACCCTCCTGTGCAGAGCATTTGAAACTATTGCTACCTTAAAAGTAAGACAACATTTAGCTGCAGCCCTCTCATATCTCCCTCCGCTCAGCAACATCTGGTTTTAATTAACACGCATTCCCAAACGACAGTCCTATCCTGGTTTGTGAAGTGGAAGCACGATTAAAAAATGACCAGGGTAAAACATTTTTTTTTAAAAACACCGACTTGCTGAAATTCTGCTTTTCTGCGACCAATGGAAAATTTAAGTTTGTTAAAACCTAAAACCCAGGGAGCAAAATTGCTACATTAAAGGTAAAATACCTCCCCAACTTTAAAAAACAAATAAGAAACATTACTGTAACACGTGTTTGAAAAGCATTTACATTTATTAATTAATATTTAGACATAATAAATACCGTCCAAAGATTGCAGACGAAAACACTATCATCTAAAACTTGTTTTTTTTTCTTTACCACTAACAAACACTAGGGGTAGCCAAATCAACGACTAAATTTTTTTTTTCAATGGGAAAACTTGCTGCTTTATTTAAGCGTTTTATATTTTGACAGTTCGGTTCCATTACATTTTAAAATGATCAATTTTAAGACATTTTTCAGGGCATTGATCAAAGCATGTCGCCTTAATTCATATTATTTATTTCTGATTGCTTTGTTTTTTACATTTCCTCTTCCAGCACATGCCTAGAGGGATTATCTCTATTCTGTTATATCAGCAAATAATTATATAATAACAGTGTTTAATATAACGAGTCAACCTCAAGAGCTTGTATATCTATTCTCTAACAGTATATCTTTATATATTTATGTACATATGTGGTTTATTCAAAAGTTCAAGTCAATCCTGATCTGTGTTATCTGGGATAACAATGATTACACAATAATAAAACACCCAAATACCCAAGGGAAAGAAATGTAAAAACTTCAAGTGTGAGTTTATTGACCAAAATAGGGAACAAAAAGAACATTTGTTCAGGTATTTAAGGAGTGGCATCTTCTCAACAATCTCTGTCCATGGGGTCATTTGCAGGTCTGGGATCAGCCACTTTTTTCTCATACTAAAATGTTTGATAGAGGGAGAAAATACAAACTGGCTCAAGTTCAGTTTTTGACGAGGTAGGCTCAGTCTGGATCCCCTAATGTGGACCATGCAGAACCATGCCCAGCCCATAAATAATACTGAGAGGAAAAGAACACTGAGCCTGAAGAAAACAAGACAAGGCACTGTGATATGAAGGTGGGCTTTCTGTGCAGAGATTTTGATACGTTGAAGATTCCTACTTTATCAGTATTGGCTTATCCTTCTTTAAAATATGTTTTTATCATTTCAGAGTCATTTTGCAGCAAGGGACTTCTCCATAAAGGCCATGCCTGTGTTGCTGTTGTTGGCTTTGGTGTGCTCGCCCATGGTTCATTCTTCACAGTCGACGGTATGTACATTTTTTTGTTCCGCAAATGAAATTTGAAAATGTTTGACCTTAAGGCATAATTTACAGGCAAAGCTGTTAAAGAGCCGTGACTCCTAGTATGTCAAGAGAGTCAACGTGGATGAAGTCTGCTTAACCAACACCTGGAGATGAGATCACATGCTTTTGCTAAGCTCTCGGCTATAGCAGCGAAATAAGTTTAGAAATGTCATGTACAGAATAACATGACATGTCTTTTCCACATTTAAGGCAGAGAACATGTGTGGACCAGAAGTTGCAGCTCTCAAACGCAGCATAAAAAAACTGGAGACCAAAATCTTGATCGGGACTTGGCAGATTGAGCACTTGCAGAGGCACAAATACTTCAGGCCTTTACAACCTGCTGTGTCTGATATTAAACCTGACACTGAGACCAACCATGCCGGAAACCACAGCAGCAGCCGCAATGAGACATTAGACAGCTCTGATATGACCCTGATAAAACTACTTCCACCAGCAGGCAACTTAGTTGTCCATGACAAAGGTAAAATAAAACTTGTATTAGAAAACATGTGTTTAGTTTTCAGTTTGGGTTTTTACAGACCCCTCAGTGCATAAAAAAGAACTACATCATTTAAGAAGTTCTCTTAGTATAAATCTTACTTAAAGAGTGTGAAATATAAGTTACAACACTGACAGTACCTTCATAATCAGCAATCTTTTTAATGGTCTTTTTAATGCTATTTTTTAGACTGTTCCGAACTGTTCGACAGGCTGAGACCACCTAGTGGTTTCTACCGCATCAGACCCAAATCACAACAGGATCCTTTTTTGGTTTACTGCGACATGGATGATGGAGGGGGATGGACGGTGTTTCAGAGGCGTCGGCATGGAAAAGTCGACTTCAACAGGTGTTAAAGCACGAGGGATAGCGGTGTGGGTGGGAGGGATTTACACAGCTGTTTCATGTGAGATTTATATATGCCCAATTCTCATTTCAGGGATTGGGTGGACTACAGAGATGGATTTGGTGACTTCAAGCTGTGGAATGATGAGTTTTGGTTGGGGAATGAGCACATTTATTCTCTACTCTCAGAAGGTCAAACAAGCATGGATTTATTCTCTGTTAGGCTTTCCTTAAAGTTTCTAAAAATGCTGCATAGTTTGAATTTTCCACCTTATTTATTTGCCCATATTTCTTTATCATGAAGGCAACAACTTGGTGAAGATTGATCTGATGGACTGGGATGGAAAGAAAAATCATGCATTTTATGAGAACTTCAGGATCACCAATGAGGCCGTAAGATAAACAATCTTCAATATCTTGTTCAAAGAGTTACTGTGATCCCCAGCATTGCTTGCTTCAATATCTATTCCAGGATAAGTATCGTCTCCAGTATGAAATGTATAGTGGGCAGGCTGGAGATGCTCTGACTGGTGGTGGGGGGATGGTGGAGCACTGGTCTACTTCCCTCAGCGGCATGCAGTTCAGCACCAGAGATCAGGTAGGTCACGACTCTTTTTAAACTTTCTAAGAAGCCTCTCCAATGGTTTATTATTGAAAGTGTATGAATAATGATTATGTTAACATTTACAATGGTGATTGGCAGGACAATGACCGCTACCTTCAGGGCAGCTGTGCTCAGGAGAACAAAGCAGGGTGGTGGTTCAACAGGTGAGACCCGATGCTCTGTCTGTTTACTTCCATCTGCCTTGATTGTTGTACAAAAGCAGAGCTTCAGATTGCCTTGTGAAAAGACAAACGTAAAACTCTTGAAATTGTGTACAAACCTGGTATCTACAGGTGTCATGCAGCCAACCTAAATGGGAACTTCTATCGCAAAGGGACGTATAAGGGCCAGTACGACAATGGTGTGGTGTGGGGGACCTGGAGAGGCCTCTGGTATTCACTCAGGCACACCACCATGAAGGTGCGGCCTTTGGTTTTCTTGGACGCTGGAGGCAGTGGAGCTGGGGACATTTAAAAACACGTCTGATTATACTTTGTAAATGAGGGCAAATAATGTCATGTTGGAATTCTTTGTATTTTAATTTCCCACTTTTGTGACATGAGTTTACCTATTTACAAATGTAGACAGTACAGTTGTTCTAAGTTTCCAGTATGAATTTCTTTCTTTAAAGTGTATGATATAACTCAAGCAAATAAACAAACTGCATCCAAAAGTGAGAGTTATTCTTTTTACAACACTGTTGCAGACTGCATTAAAGACACAGCACATGCAGCAGTTAAGAGGGCTTAGATGAACACACTAACTTCTGTAGTGTTTTGCATACTGTTATTGATCCGGCTTATGTTCAATAATGCATACAGACATCACTTCAAAAAGGGCTTATTTTGGAACAATACTTTACAACTATATTGACCTGAAACAGTCATACTCTGAATAAGAAAACAAAATCAGTTGAAAAAAAGCATACTCTCCAAATTTCTGACAAAAAAATTAAATAGTAACTGCTGTGCATGGTCTATTTTTCCTCCCTGAAATATGCTGAGGACAGGTCCAGGTCCAACATCCTCTGCTCCGCCTCACTCAGCCTGTAGGGGGAGCCACCAGTGCTGCTGTAATCTCCAGACATTGGCAGAGAGTGGCAGCGACCTGTCCTCTGCTCCAGGGATGATACACTAAAAGTGGAGCTGCGCTGCCGCGCCTTCGCCCCTGAGTTAGACTGAGCCTCCTTTAATTTACGTGCCAGGATGTTCCTCTGGATAGGCGACGGGCCACGGCGGTTCCAGTTCTGCTCAGCCCGCTCTGCACGATCAACACTCAGACTGACAGGACTCACCGCAGGGCCCCCAATCCCTGAGATTCCCTCCCTGCCCGCTGTCCCTAAACTCCTTTGCTTTTCTGCAGTGCCACTGGGGTCTGCTTTAGCATGACTTGCATGTGTTGTGTTGGTTCCTGTGTGTTTAAGTTCACTGTTGTAAGAAAGGCCAGCTGTTTCTATCCAAGGCTTCCTCTTGTTGTCTCTCTGGGGTCTGGATTGAGGGCAATCTGAGGCCTCGTGCTCTGGAATTGGGTAAGAGCAGTATGGCTGCCTCTCTCGTCCACCTCTGGTCCAGCAGCTTCCTTCAGGAAGGGTGCGAGATCCCACCTGAGAAGAAAAATGTATTATCTTACTTAATAAGTAATATATAGCAATATATAACCAACACTTTATTAACACAGAATAATTAAGTAACCATGTAGCAACCTGAGTCATGCTCCTTTCTCTGAACTGTCTGGATTGTGTATATATTGGAATCTGGGGTTTCATGTCATTAAAACTGGAGGTCCGGCGGAAATTTGGATTGTTGTGATTTCCCATCCCTGGATCTTCTCCTCGTCTGATTGCCGCTGACCCACTCCTCTCTACCATCTCCACCCAGTCCGCAGTGCGGTCACGCCATTTTGAGCTTCCTCCATTTTTAGTAGCAGAGACACGAGGACCCAGGAGCAGCTCCACTTTGGGACTTAATCTGTTGGGTGTGACCCTTGAAGTCTGTCAGAAAATGGAGATGCAATCTGAAAATGATTGCGGTTGGTGTCATCCTGGAGGCCCAACGGGAGTGCCAAATGAGTGAATTCAGTTGGTGTAGGGATGGGGGAAGCTGTGGGTGAAGCAGATGTTTCGACCAAGGTGTCATGGACGGGGCTTGAAGAGACATGATACAGCTGCGTCGCCTCCTTTAGCCCCTTCTTTTTCATCTCTTTCAACTGCTGCTGAGCCAACCGATACCTTCGAAAAATGTAAATGTAAACTTCTTAGACTGTAGATTGAAATGAATAGTTTGGTAAAAGTGTGTTCCATGTGATATGAAAGTGAAAGAATAATCTAAACATACCCAAATATTGGTGGCAACAACTTCTGACCCGTGGGGGAAAGCCTTTCTGGATCCTGCGGTAGTGGCATCACCAAGGTCTGTGAGAGAGGCGGACTGCCCAGGACAGGAGCGTCTTTCTGGGCAACACCCACACCCCCCAGTGGACAGTGGCCATCCGACAGGCTTGGTCTCTGGAGGCTGTGTCCACAAATGGAGGCCTCATCAGAGAGCTTGCGTCCTACCGGGGAGTGCATGGAGCTTCTACGGACGGAGCTGCACTGAGGGGTCTGGCAAAATTTTCTCCACACAGTCACAACAACAGTAGCTAAAATCACAGCCAGGCAGAGGGAGATACCGACCACCACGACCATGTTACCACCAAGGGGTGAAACTCCAACAGACACAGAGGGCAGGGATGGAGAGGGTGCAGGCAACACTGAGGTAAGAAAGGAACAATAATATTTTAATTCATAAAAGACGAATGCTTCTTGCTGAATTTAAACCAAAAAGGATAAGGGAAGAAAATCTACAGACAAAAATCGGATTAAAAGTGTGGCTGACCTGCACAGTCCTCCAGTGAGCAGAGAGACTGTTCCTTCACCATGCCGGTGCACTGCATCCCTCCCACACCTGAGGGCAGCAAACACTCACGCACTCTCTCCCTCACTCCCTCTCCACAGCTCACGCTGCACAAACTCCACGGCTGCCACGGGCCCCATGACTCTGCAGGAAAACAAGCAAGCGAAAAATGTTCTGAAATAACAGATACATTTGTGTTAATATGCCTTAAGTCTATCGAGCTTCTTTCTTGAATAACCTTGATTAACGTATGCCAAAAGGCCCACAACACTACCCAACATTCAATCAGGAGAGACTCTTTTTTTTTACTTCAATGTGACGATCAGATGGGTGAACAAAAGTATGGCAGAGATAAGCATAGCAAATTGAGCCCTTCTACTTGGAGATGGAAAAAATACATCTATCATATCACATGGCGTCAACCAGTTAATGCTTTATCCCCAAAATAGAAAAGTCAGGGCACAGCTGCAGGCAACATCTGTATTTACTGCACATGCTGCACTGGAATGTGGAAGTTAACTATTTTTTGATCCTCAGTTGCACAGGGCATTTTCTTAAAATACCATGAGAATTTCATGGTAAAACGTTTTTGTTTCACGACACTGATGATGTGTTTCGTGTCATCCCTTAGGGACATACTTGGCCTCCAGACTATTTCCGTCTCGCATGCCCTAATAAGGATTTTTGTTATGTGGTCTTTATTTTTCTTTCATTTCAGTTTGACTTTTCTGTGGTTTTTGGTCTTAATTTGAAAACCTGTGCTTTTCTTATTATGATGAATAAAAGTCTCTATCAGGATAATTATAGTGAAGCAGCACTTTCCCTCCAATAATGCTGCTCTGGTGTTACTGTTGAATGACAAGCAGAAATAGACTGTAAGTGTATTCTTTACAGCTGCTTCGTGTAAATGTGTCAATCCATTAAAGCTTACCAGCACTCCTGTGAACCACCAAACAGGTCTGTGCAGGACTAGGGGAGCGACTGAAGTTGAAAACAAAGCGGAAGCAGTACTTGTTCCTTCCTGGGTCAAACACAGAGCAGTTAAACTCGGTCTCATTTTCTCCCTGAGTCAGCCAGTTAAAGGCTAACGGAGGAGAAGAGGGCTCCTCAGGTCCAAACCCTATCAGTGTTCCTGTTCCCATCCCAGAGGATACAGAAACGCCTCTCCCAGCACCTGCATCCTTATAGAGCAACACTTTCCCGTGGATGTGAGCACATGGTGGGGTGATCAGTTTAACAGTCATAGTCCCTTCACAACCACTCCTAAAAGCGTTGCTGTTTTCCACCTGCAGCTTGTAGGAAAAGATACGGGACAGGTACAGAGGTCCAGAGCTCTTCACATCCTGTGCTACATGAGGAGACCGTAAAGCCACTTGTATGAAGTCTCTTTCCGTGAAGGGAAAGGCGCAGGAAAGTTGAACACTTTGGGAACGGAGGGGTTTGATTGGGTGTCGTGTGCGGGCTCGGATCTTGTCGATGCTGATTCTTCCTATCTGGTTGAACTCCATGTAGCTGACTTCTAGAAAGAGAGCAGAATCAATGCCGTTGGTGCAGGCCTGAAAGTGCTCGTTTGTGGAGATCCCGACCTGCAGAGAGACAGAAGTAGAATGATCATCAATCTTTCTTGATCATCTGAATCTGGATCAGGTCCCATTCATTTGCTGCATGTTCCGGGTCTTTTTTATCATGTTTTATTTATTTGATGTGGGTCAGATAAGTCTGTATGGTTTTATTTGCTTTTTCTATTCCTTAGAACAAAATCATTTAAAGTGACCACAGCAGTATTATTTCATTTCATCAAAGTTATCTGAAAAATGATGTATCTGGGTTGAGGTGATTCTGTCCTATACGTTTCTTTAAATACCAAGTAAAGTAAGCACGGTAAGTAATCTAAAGTAAGATAGATAAGTAGATCCTTGATAGCAGAATCATTTCTTTAAACGTCTGAATCCAGTTGAATATTTTTGAATACCTTGGCTCTGTTCATCATTCTGCAGCACAATAACTCGTCACTGTGTGTAAAGTTTAATATTTGTTTGCCTTGCCTGAAAAGATTCAGAGTGGTTTCCAGCCCTCTCCACAGCGATGTGAAAGGTGGGCCACTGCACCTGCAATTCTGAACTCCACCACCAGGTAGTGCTCTGCATGCTTCTGTCCTCCGTGCCATTATCATGAGAAACAGCAGAGATGCTGGTCTGTCGAAGCAGGAAGCGGAAAGTTCCTGCATACAGGAAGCAGGAGCAGTTGAACTCCACCCTAACGCAGATTGGTTGCCGGGGAGACTCCTGGTCAGGAGGGTGGTGTTGGTTTCCGTGTTGACCAGAGAGAGGCTCCTGCTGCGGATGGTGCTGGTGTTGGATTTTGTGCTGAAGTCCACAAAAACGCTGGCGTTGCTGAGGGCAACGTGGAAGGAAGGCCATACATTGAGCCCTGCAATAGCTAAAGGAAAGGATGCACAGGAAAGAGAGAGGGCAAAGAGAAAGAATATTTTATCATACATAGACACATCTTGCACAAACATTTATTACTATCGGAAAAAAGCTTTGTTATATTTGTTTTTTTGTATATTAGGTAGATGTCCAATTTCTTTGTCTTGATATGACCTTGTAGGCTTTCTTTTTACTTTGTTTTAAGGTCAAATTTACTGCCATGGTGGAATAACAATGCAATGCAATTATTTAATTTTGAAGCGTGCATTATGGGCGTACAGGCCTATTTATTTTAAGATTTATTCGTGGCTCTTTTGCCTTAATTGGAGGGGACATTGAATAGAGTAGGAAACCAGTGAGAAAGAGTAGGGATTGTCATGCCGGAAAGGAGCCACAGGCCGAACTTGAACCCAGGGTTCAAGTTCGGCCTGCTTGGAGGAATATTGCCTCAGAACATGGGGGCAAGCTAATCCCTATAGCGCCCCTTATAGGCCTATTGATACATTTCCAAATGTCAAGGTGAAACTAAGTGTAGATGTAATGTATCCAAAGCCACAAATGATAGAATTTGCTTAGCAAAACAAAAGATCTGTTTTCATCTCAGACAATGTGAATGTTCATAACCCATTTCATACTTCATCATACACACACAGCAGATCAAACCATTAGTATTTATCCACTTGTCAGTGTATCTGAATATTTTTGCACAATATCAGTAACCAGAAGAGAAATAAATATGTTGTACCACAGATAAAATATTAGCCTATGTGGTGTGTTGTGTGTAAATTCTGCTGTGTGAACCTCACCATCCTCACAAAACAAAGAGGGTGTGGGAAGAGGAAGAGGCTGACTCTCCAGTAGCTCCTTCACTCCCTTCAACTCAACATCCCTAATCCATTCAAACGAAGGCAAATATTGGAATACAGATTCAAGGTAAAACGTGTGTTCTTGATCAAATACATTCAAAGGCAGTGATCTACTCCTCCTTAAAATAGTAGTTGTGTTTTTTAAACAGTTTGGTAAAACTCACCATATCCCATGAGCACCAGCAGGAAGGACAGCAGTGAGACAGCCTGTGGCATTCCGATGTCTGTGCCTCTGTTTTCTCCTACACCTCATGACCGTCCTCCTCCTCGAAAACCTGAACCTCTACAACACAGAGGAAAATCAAAAGAATAAACAAAAACAAATAACCGACTTGTAAGAACCCAGCAGACAACAACTGGTAGTGCTTGAGGGCGTCATCAGACAGGAAAATACACAGAAGAATTTGTGTGCTCATCTGACTTTTGAATAACAGGAAGGCTAGAGCATGAAGCTGTGAGCATGAGTTTTCTGATTTACTGTGGCGTCTTCCTCTTCCTTCCATCTTCACAATGGGTATAGAGAGAGCTGCCTTCACTGCATGACTTGAGGAGCTAAAGGAGGCCTGTGCAAATAACAAGTATTTATGAGGAGGAGCCAAATTAGTTATTTGATTATTTGTAAGGATTTTACTCATTTGTTTTGCCATTATGTTCTTAGAAACAACAAAAAAGACTCATGATTTTCTAGAAAAAAAATCAAAAATTTTAAATTGTGTGCACCTAATTCAGACAATGGATTGCAGCTTTTCCTATTTAAGGAATACTCATGGGCTGCACTTAATTAAAATAATGAACATAATTAATAATACACAGTAGGATAAAGAGTTTAAAAACAACAACAACACATCTCTGCTAAAGAGTTAACTTAGCTTGCATGCCTGTACAACTCTACGTATGTACAAAAAATGTAATGCTGCGTTTAACTTTAACATTTCACAAATACAGCATCAGTCATCGTAACATTCACCTCTTTTTAAGGCTAGAGTTAGTAAAGTTCTTACTCACATATCTCGGTGACTCAGCACAGCATTATTCCGCTTCACTTTTTCAACACAGCAACCAAAACATTCCCCCCCTCCATGTGCCGTGAACGCATTTCGTCTGGCTGATAAACTGCAGAACATTTGAAGTCAGCGGGAGAAAGACAGACGGACCCAGCAGAGTTTAGCGAGGGGGCGCGCGCCTCTTTACAGAGCGCGTGGAAGAGAGTCAGTCGCAGTGATTTCTCGGTCAGCAGCATCAGACTGTAAAAAGAGCAGCAGGGCGTATTGGATAGTGTGTGCACTCGATATGCTCTTTTTGTTTGTTTGCTGAAAAAAAAAGGATATGCACCAGGCACGGTGCGTGGTAGTGAACAAACTAATGATCTACTTTATTCCAGGGGACAAGTCTTCCAGAAAAAAAAAATATATAATGACTAATTTTATTGTAAGAAATAAAATAATTTCGGCTACATCAAAACTCAATGGGTCAACTATTAAATTGTTAATACGCCAAAAAAAAAAGTGTTGTTTTTTTTAATTCGAAGCAAAGTCTGCTCTGTTAAATCAATGTTTGGATTTGCGTTAAAAGTTAGTTTTTGGTTGCCAAAAGGCAAACTGAAGCTAATATATTTTGGAATAGCCTAGTTCTTAAATTGGGTCCTAAAATCTGGGGGAAAAAACACTTCCCACAACATACTTTCCATACAGTATAGTGCATCCACATGCGGGTTCATTTCTGCAAGGTGCTCATTTGACATGCCAGCCAATAAAACGGCCTTATAGAAATCGTTCCTCTCCTGGTTAAGCAATGCTCTTCTATTATAAGGTGAAACACTGAATAGATTGGTATCAGTGTGAACAACAGGCAGCTGTGTCATCAAAAGGCTTCGGCACAGGTGCCTGAGGAAAGTGACTATGGGGAGAAGTATGTGCGATTCACCAGATTGGTCCATAATTCATTCCTTTTAATGTCAGTCACACATAAATCACTTTTTCAATGTATAGGGGCCATTGAAAGAACAAAATTAAACAGAAGCTCATGACATGTAGCTCAGAAAAACGTTGTGTATCTTAACTGGCCCAGTAATTTCAGTAACAAACTAAAAAAAAATGATACAAATGCCATTACAGTTAAAGTGCAGAGCTATTCATCTCACACACTCAGATAACCTTTCCCCACTTAAAATGAGATACAAGTATTTCTTCCATTATCCACTGATAATAAATATGAAATAAAGATATTTGAACAGATGATACTAAGCCATTCAAGATGGATATATTCATCAAGCAGTAGATCAAATCTGTCCATTTCAGCATTCACTTACTTACTTACTTACTTACTAAGAAAAATGTCCACACAAAGTTCAATGTCATGCATGAAGTCTTAATAATTATGGCTTGACTTCCTGAACCAACAATTTAATCTACCATCAACAAGAGAACCACATGGCGGGCTAATGTAATAAGCTGTAAAGCATTGCAGACCTTAATTTTCATTGAGAGAAAACAGGAAACTTCTCTAGAGATGAAACAACCTTTTCTTCTCAGATCAGTCCACAATGGGAACAAAGAACTTTACTATTCTTTGTAAAAAAAAAAAAAAAAAAAAAAAAGGCCCACAGGGAAGATTACAAATTGAAGCACGTTGGCAGCGACTGTACAATTTAAACATGAAGCAACATAAGACTTATAGTCATATTCTGCATAGATATTACTACTTCTGCTGTTACTCTTTCACTGTGAGTCAACTTCTTTGACAGCTTCACTGTACTCTTATCTCTCAGTTTGGCTTCAAAACAGTCACGACTGGAATTTCTATAACACAACCTCCGCAGTGAGGGGAGTAATTGCCTGAGGAGTGATGTTTGGCAATGTGCCTTGTATTTTTTATGCTGGGACTGAAACTGACAGTGGATTAAACATTTGTTGAATTTAAAAAAATAATAATTATATATCAGACAACTAACTATTCACAGACAATTTGAATAAAAAGATAGAGACAAAAGTGTGCACTAGGACCAAAACAAAAACAAAGGTTAAGCTGAGTGTTTAGAGTCACTATGAACTCTGTGTTATTTTTTCTCCCTTCTTCAGACATCAAGAAAACAAGATTTATTCCTTTATCATTAATTACATATTTGTGTATTTTCCTTTGGAAGATATGTTATCAGATGCTGTGGGTTTTCAAAACACTAAAGAGGTATTGGCTGTGTGTGAATGAAAATCAAAAAATGCACACTTAATAACATATTCAGTCAGTTTTTAATAATCCCATTTATTACTAAAAAGACAATCCACCAGGTAGATCAATCCGGGGAACACTTTGCTGCATGTATAATATGAGCAGGTTCTTGAACAGTTTCGGTAAAATAATATTTTTGATTATCTTAAAAGACAGACTCAACTCTTAGACCTACATAGAAAAAAAGCTGGTGGTACCTACAGAGGCTTTGCATATGTACTTCTAACAGCACAACAACTGATCAGTAAGTCAGACTAGACCTGAGAGCAACATTACTATGCCCATGGCTCACCTGTATCTCAGTATGTAGGATTTTTTTTTTAATGCATCAGTCAGCTAAGTGCAGCCAAGTTTCATTTTTAACCCAAACACTGATAGCTGTAAACAGGTCAAAACAGGTTTGGGTAGAATCTCAAACCCTCAACAGAGTCATCTCTACACAGGTGGCCCATCTTCTCAGCCAGCAGCAACCTGGAAATGAGAGCGACAAAGACAGGATGCGCTTTACAATGAAGAACAAGAAAAGCATCTGAATAAAGAAAATGAGAAACAATGTGTGTGCACATGTGTGCAGTAAAACAGGCTAGAACTTATCTTACCTCTCTTTGGACAGAAGAACAGAGAGGCCCAAGAGCTTTGCAAACTCCTCTGCTGTCAAAGAGCCTTTGTCAGACACCTGCAAAGAGGAAGATGACGATAAGAACAAAAAAAAGGATAACAAACTTAAAACCTTCATTTACTGAATGTGCGATCTCTATCTGTAGATACATACATTTATATACAAAGCATTTTGTTTGATCAGTCTACACACCATGTCAGTATAATGTAAAGCTTACATTGTCTAGCGCTGAGGCTATCATTTCCTCTTCGCTGTGAGACTGCAGCTGGACCACCATCACACCGCTGTCAAACACACGCAGCCTACAAAGAAAACACATTAAGTAAAGAGTGTGTGAGACAGAAAGAGATCTGGTTGACAGTTCTTAAGCTGTAGTGATCTTTCACAACTTTAAAAGCTCCTGTGAGGAACTTTCAGTTTGCGTTGATTTTGGCGACAAAGCAGTCCCTCTTATCTCCTTGCTGATATTATCCTGTACATGCACAAGTAGTGTCTTCCTATTGGCCTCACCGATGTGTGTGTGTGTGTGTGTGTGTGTGTGTGTGTGTGTATATATATATATATAGACATTTATCGTGTTGATCCCTTAAATGCATTTATAAAACACTTGTGGAAAAGATACATAATGAAGACAAGATGGTCACTCCACTGCAAAGTAACTGCGCATGTTTGTATGTATCATCGCTTTACACTCTGGAAAGTGATAATGCTTGTTGTAATCCATATAGCACCCTCTTCTGGTGACAGAGAAAAAACTGCAAGAATGAAATGCTATTTGTAAATAAATCTGGTAATATTGGCAAATATCTGCAATAAAATTGGCCGATATGCTAATACCGGCCGATATTATTGGCTGGCCGATTAATCGGTCGGACTCTACTTATTACCAAAAAAAATAAGCAATTTTAGTTTTAACAGTCAAACTCACTGTAATTCCTAGCAGTGCAAAATGTTAAGAAAGGCTGTTTCTGCAGCGTACTGTAATTCACTTCATCTGACAACTACCCCCTGGCAGCGATTACAGGCACAAAAACAACGATATAGAAATAGTCAATCTTGCTGCTGACGGTCTTGGTTTCTTTTGTAGGTCATTCAGAGGCACCAGTAATAATTTAATGTCTGTTTCATATCCTGCGGAAAACACCTCACAGGAGCTTTAAATAAGCCGAAAGCAAAGGAACAGACGCTAGTCTGGGAGGACTAGGACCAGTGTGTTAAGGAAACAGGCCTGTGTTTCTTTTGAAAACCCTGGGAAGTCACAGGAAATGTCAGCCACAGAGGGCTGGACAACACTTCCAACAACAGGAAGCCTGACAGGAAGAGCCTGGCCTCTGTGAAGCAGACGCCGTCCCTGCCCTATATTCTTTTACTAAACACATAGCCAAGTCTATACTCAGAGGAGTGTATAAGAGACACATTAAACAATACAATGTGAAGACACACTAAAATCAAACTCACCTCAACGGGAGCTTTAATGACTCAAACATCTTGCACGCATTTAACAAATCTTCTGGAGATAAAAGCTGCAGACACAAACAAAAGGCTGTTAGTGTATGTCCCATTGTACATGCAGCTTAAAACATACAAATACATTCCTATGATAACACATGAAATTGATTAGTGTGTGATTTTGATTTTAGCATTACCTCCATCCCTCTAGCACGGTTGACAAGACAGTACACCTCAGTGAGAGCCATC